TTTGGCTTTCTCAACTTTCTCTGTTTCTTGGTTTGCTCATTTAAAAAAAAAGTAAATAACAGAAGCAGTCCTACGCGGTTATGATGAAGAAGATTCCAAAGTTCTGAGATCAGGGCCAAGGAAGTAAATAACAGAAGCAGTCCTACAGGGTTATGATGAAGAAGATTCCAAAGTTCTGAGATCAGGGCCAAGGACACGGAAGTGCTCACTGTCGTTACAGGAGCAACCCCCACCAGCCCTCTCCATCCCTTCCCCCCTCCTGCCCCGGCCATTTCCTGGAGGAGCTGGTCTTTGCTGGGTGGAGTCCTCACAGCCACACCCTCCCATCTATACTCAAGTTTGTGTTCTGTGTGTGGCTTCCTGCATTGATAGAGAATCTGTGGCAGAGTGTCCCTGTTCCGGAACTCCCCTGCTCCAGGTAAGCAGGGAGATGGGATGAAGTGGGTGCCGGAGGCTGGAGCATGGTAAGAGGCCTGGCCTCCTGAGGAGGTACTTGGTGTCCCAGAGAGATCATGCCTCACCAGGGAATCCAGGAGCCTTGTCCACAGCTGCCTGCAATGTTTGCTAAAAACACAGATCCCCAGCCCTGACCAGTATGGCTCAGTTGGTTGGGTGTTGTCCTCCAAAGAGAAAGGTTGCCAGTTTGATTCCAGTCAGGGCACATGCCTGGATGGCGGGTTTGGTCTCCAGTTGGTGTGCATGGAAGAGGCCATCAATTGATATGTCTCTCTCACATCAATGTTTCTCTCCCTCTCCCTTCCCATCTCTGTAAAAATAAATAAAGGAATCTTAAAAACAAAACAAAAAAGAACACAGATAACCAGATCTCACCCTTTCCTAAAGAGGAGCAATATCTGTGTGTTACTATGCGCTCAGTGGTGTTGGCCTGAGGCCAAGTATGAAATCCAGGACGTCTCTGTGAGAGAGGTTTGTGTAGGTTGGAGAAATGGAGGGATGAGAGCTATGGGGCTGCCCTCTCTGATTCTCAGGCCCCATATGGCCTTGACCAGCCTTACAGAGGGCTAACTAAGGCGTAGTTTGCTCTAAGCCACAGAGCTTATGGTGCACCGGGAATCTAATGCAACAAATATTTAATGAGTTCCTATTAGGTGTCAGGCCCTGAGCTCAATGCTTAAGGATCAATTATAACAAACAACGATACAGGCTCAATGTTTTGGTGGTTAGTGTGGAAGATCACTACAATGATTAACTTTTATAGAAACTGTATGTGTGAAACTAAACCTTACAATTGGACGTTGGGGGATGGGGCACATGAGCTCTGAAAGAAGAGGAGGAGCTAAGGAGGGAAACTGTTGGCAAAAGCTTTCCTGGGCTCCAGGTCAGCAGTATTCAAATGCCCTGGGGTCAATTACGTCTCAAAAAAAAAAAAAAAAGGGGGGGGTGGTACTTTCAAGCCTCCTGGAGAGAACAGGTTATATCAGTAAATAGAAGTTATACCTAGTTTATACTGTGTAGAGAAAAGTTTATGGACAATTGAAATAAAGTTCCTAACATCGTCCCATTGCTCCCCCGCCCAAAAAAAAACTCTGGGGCCAGAGGACGGTCAACCTGGAGAAAGTTTAGGAAGAACTGGGGCTGAAGCCAGCCTAGAGTGGGCTTGGTGCTAGATACGGGACAGACCACGAGGAGTCTCGTGGGCTTGGTGAAGGATCTGGGGAAGCCTGGGCACACCCTAGCCCTGTACCTTTGTACAGCCCTGTACCTGTGTACAGGCAGAAGCCTGGTGGACGCTCGTCCCGGGTCACAGGGTCATCCTGCAGAGCCCACGTGGCTGAAACCCGAACTGCTGTAAAACAGGTTTTTGATAAGTTTGGTGCAAGTGTATTTGGCAAAACATCACCTGACATGAAGATTTTTATAGTCTTTATTTGCCCCACTTGGTTTGAACACACACACATTCTCCTCCATAATTATTGTGTTCAATTGGGAAGAGCTTCCCTATGTCATTCCATGGATATTTACATAATATATGATCTATGTAGCACATTCATTTTCTAAAATACAAAATTCTAAATATTGTAGTCCAGTGGTCTAGGGGGAAGAGAGAATAGCTGGGCCTGGACTGGAGTGGAGTGAGAAGTAACCTGCTTTTTTCAATCTACAAAGTATTGTGTGCCTCTTTCTATATCAATACATTTGGCGCTACCAACTTTCTTTAAAATCTGCTTGTAGTCTCTTGAACAGAATGTGTTTAATGTGTTTGTAATGTAGTTTATTCAGCCACTAATGACAATTGATACTTCCAATATTTCTACTTTTTTGAAGTTTAAAACCATATGACGAGAATGTCTTCAAGTGCACTTTTTTTGTTGTTTTTTTGTATATATTTTTGAGTATTCAAGTTATGTATGTTTTATAAAACAAGGTTCAACTGAGTAAATTTTAGAGATTTTATTAGCTTTATTCATTGATTCAACGGGGCACCGTGCAATCAGTCTTGCAGAGAGAAAGGGGCTCCGAGGAGCTGCACAAAATGAAAGGCTTTTACAGGCAGAGGGCAACAGGAAGTTGGAGGCAAAGAAACCAGTCGGGTCAGTTATTTCAAGGCTCCTTTCCTTGAGATGGCATGGGTCTCTCCCACAGCTGACCTCGTGAGTGCTGATCAGGTGATTCCTGACTGACTGGTTTGAGACTCCATTTCTGGGAAACCTGAATCTAGTTAAGACTTGGTTTGATGACTTGGGGCTTAGCATAAGTAACTTATTTGGGGGTCTGTTTTCCTGTTCTTAACATGTGCTTTTTAGAATTAGTGTTAGTGGAATTACAAGGGCAAAGGAAAGATCTTTTTCAATTGCTGATGGATAGTTTAGCATTACTTCCTTAAGAAAAAAAGGTTTCTACTTCAATTGTCGACAGTGCTGGAATCACTACCATACAGAGCTAAAATGGGGCATTAACGATGTTTTCAGTCCTACCAATACAGTAAGCATAGCAAAAGGGGAAGATTTGTGATTCTTAGGTTATTAATAAGTTTCTGCATTTTTTTCCCCATAATTGTTTCTGCTTTTTCTTCATGGGAAGTTCAGTTTTTTGGCTTTCCCTTCTTGTCTTAAAGGTATTTATTTAGAGATGATATTTTACTAGTTAATACTGAAAATATTTTTCCCAGTTTTATGTTCAATTTGTATGATTTAAATGTTATTTCCTGGATTTCATTTCACAAATGAGATTTTGTGGCACTCTGTTTCATGGGAGCAGAATAAGTCTCTACATCAGGGTTATTTGGGACATAAGGATTATTTGGGGCTGGTTATTTTTGAAAGGTTGTTGATACTGAGAATCTCTGAAAACTCTGTAGAAGTTGTCTTTTTGTGAAGGAGATTTACATTTATAAGGGAAATCTCCATTTGTAAGTGTTCTTTACTCAGAAAGAGGATGACACAAAAGCTCTAGAAACTCTATCAATGGAGAAGGCACCGCCTTAAATCTGCCTATCAAGCTTACTTTTATTTACTCTGCTGGATAAGCTCCCATAACTGTCCCACCCCAACATCTTTTGTTTTCAGCTGAAGATAATATTTAAAACATGATGGTGTAGGCTATTTAAGGAAGTTCGTTTTCCTGAGTTTCTTTCTGTATAGGAGGTATGTATGTTATTCACAGAGATGTCTCAGTTAAGAACCTAGGAGGGTACAGGGAAAATTGAATTTCTGTATCCAGCACATGAAAAGGATTGAAACAAACCAACTAAATATGGTAAATGTAAATCCTGAGCCTTCATAAATTCTATGATTCAAGCCTCAGAATTGATAGGGGTTTCCTTAACTTCCATATTCTCATAAGACAAAAATGTATAGTGATATTCCTACATACCTGATTCTAAGAGTTTGGAAGTGTAGGGGAGGAAAAAATTTTCCTATCTACACTCCTAGGTCCTGTGGCTGATCTAAGAATTACATTGATGTAAAATAGATTAACAAGAGGTAAAAAACCCATTTTAATTACATTTTTTATATGCAGAAACTTCACAAAGATTTGAGATTCAAACGGTGGCCAGACAATTGAGGCTTCATCTTGAGGTGAGGGGAAGGGCTGGGCCTGGGGCTCGGGTTGGGGGAGGCACTGCACCTGAAGGTGAGAGGCGGAAGTCTTTAGTCAGCAAGCGTTCTGTTAAGCAGGTGTCTCGTAGGTGGAAAAGTTATCTCTGGTAAGAGCACTCTTCCTGCTAGAAAGGCCCCCTTTCTAATGTTACTTTTCTTTATAATTGCTGGTTCCCCCCCAAAGTGGGAAATTTTATACTTTTGGGGGGGCAGTTAAGGAGGAGTTAAGGAACTTTTCCTGAGTCCACTGGGTCTTGATTGCCTTCAGCTTAAAATAATCCACATCCAAAATGGCATATTTGGGGGCGGCATGTTCTAGACCCCTTTAGGATGTAAAATAAATTTTCCTAAGTTACATGGATAGGTTGCCAAGTGTGGGTTTTAATTTGGATGTGATACATCTATCTGTCCCAGAGCCTGTGCCCTTTCCACAGCCCCAGGTGGGGTGAAGGGAAAGTAGATGGGACAGGGGACAGTAGTTTCCAGAGGCCAGGAGTAGATAGGATGCAATGACAAAGGCACAAGGATGAAAGACTGGGGTTATGAGAGGATAATTGTGTTTGACTGGAATGTGGTAGTGGGACCCTTTGAAATAAACTCAGGGTGGTATTTTTTTTTCCTTTCTTTTTTAAATAAGAAATAACCTCATTCACAGCAACTAATGATTGGAGATAACAAATGACTGTTCTTCTGACCAAGAAGGCTGCTTAATTCCCTCTGAGCTTCCAAATTCTGGAGGAGCAGTTGTCCAGCCGCACTGTGACTGTCTGCAGGCTGAGGGAAGGCTCCTCTTGGCAGCTGGAGCCCTTAAAGGTCTGAAAGGACTTGAAAGGTCTGAAGACTCACAGGACTTTGTCGACTATCAGCCAAGTGAGGACTGAGATTTTCGGGTGTATCTACTTCTTGCTGCAGAGCCCCACTTCCTGAAGAAAACCCACCTTGATCCAGTCCTTCATACAGGGCCCAATGGCAGTCGAAGCAGCTCTGGCAGGCCTCCGGGCAGAAGTGAGCTGTCCCATCTGTCTGGATGACCTGAGAGACCCTGTCACCATCGAATGTGGGCACAACTTCTGTCGCTTCTGCATCCAACAGTCCTGGGCTGACCTGCGGGACAGGTTCCCGTGCCCTGTGTGCCGTCACCAGTGCCAAGAGAGGCACCTGAGGAGCAACACCCAGCTGGGAAGGATGATCGACATCGCCAGGCTCCTCCAGATCACCAGGAGCAAGAAGAAGCGGCAGGAAGACAGGCGCTTGTGCGAGAAGCACAACCAGGCCCTGACCCTCTTCTGTGAGGAAGACCTAGAGTTGTTGTGTTCCCTGTGCACTCAGCCCCCTGACCACCAGGGCCACCAGGTGAGGCCCGTGGATGAGGCCGCCGCTCATCACAGGCAAAAGCTCAGCAGTTACATCGAGCCCCTGAAGAAGCAGGTGGCAGACATTCAGAAATTAATAAGCATTCAAAGCAAAAAACCATTAGAATTGAGAGAGAAGGTGGAAAACCAAAGGCTGGAATTACTCTCTGAATTTGAGCATCTGCGGCAGTTTTTAGAACGTGATCAGGAATCAATTCTCTCAAGATTAGCTGATGAAGAAAAGGCTATTCAAAAGAAACTCAGCACTAATATAACTGCATTTTCAGAGTACAATTCCACGCTCAAAGGTCTACTAAATAAACTAGCAGAGAGCAGTGTGCTGCCGGAAGTAGAATTGCTATTACAAATTAAAAATTTCTACAAGAACTCTGAGGAGTTCAGCCCATCAGTCTTTTCAGTTCAGTTAAGGAGGGAAGGCTGCAGTTTTCCTTTCCAGTATTCTGCTTTGCAGAAAATTATAAAGAAATTTAGAGTAGATATAATTCTAGACCCTGAAACAGCACACCCTAACTTGATCGTCTCTGAGGATAAAAAATGTGTGAGATATACAAAGAGAAAACAAAACGTTCCAGATTTTCCAAAAAGATTTACAGTCAACACGGTTGTCCTGGGTTTTCCCTTTTTTCATTCTGGCAGGCATTTCTGGGAGGTAGAAGTGGGAGACAAAATCAAATGGGCTATCGGGGTTTGCAAAGACTCTCTTTCTACAAAGACGAGGAGGAGCCCATCGGCCTGTCAGGGATGCTGGACGATTCGGTGGCAGGGAGACAGTTATGATGCCCCAGGAGCTGGCACGACCCCTCTTCCGTCAGAAGTGAAACCCAAAGGCATCGGCATCTTCCTGGATTACGAGATGGGTGAGGTCTCATTTTACAACATGACCGACAAGTCTCACATCCACACTTTTACTGACACTTTTAATAGACCCCTTAGGCCTTATTTCTATGTGGGACCTGATTCAAATCCTCTCAGAATCTGCACAGGAACAGATTATGAATGAAAACTTTCTAACGGGCTGGATCAGTTTAATAATTTTTTTTTTTAATGGAAGGTGGGTATTTTTTTTAATTGAATTTACTGGGGGACATTGGTTAATAAAATTCATTGGTATATAAAATAAAATTATATAGGTTTCAGGGGTACAATTCTATAATACATCATGTCCTACGTACCTCGCCCCAGAAGGTGGGTATCAATATGACAGTAAACCAATCCCCTCTGAACAGCAGCACCACTCAAGAACAAAGTTGCATTTTGTTTCAACAACACAGGACAGGTAGCATCAAGACCCTCCAAGATCAGAGGCTGCCCACCTCTTCTCCCATGTCCTGCCATAGACTTGGTTCAAGCTATACACGGTGCTTGTGATGTTCCGTAGCTGTCCGCCTCTCTTCTTTACTCATGAATTTGCCTGGAGTTCCTACAGCCTCCGTCCCCTGCGGGGTACCCTGACCTCCTATAGTACCTTTGGGCTTACTGCCGTATTTCACTTAGCCCAGACACACTGGTCCTCTGTAAGCTACAAACCAGGGTCTTATCTCAGTAAATTGTTGTATCCATGGTGCTAGCACAGTATTTACCTGATGAACAGCATGCTTAACATTTTAAAAAATCATTTTATTTCTTTTTGAATTCATTGGGGTGACATTGGTTAATAAAATTCTATAGGTTTCAGGTGTACAGTTCTGTAACACACCATCTGTACATTGTATTGCGTGTTCATCACCCCAACTCATGTCTCCTTCCAACGCAATTTATTCCACATATACACATGCTCAACATTTAAATTGCTTTGGTCATTCTTTTGTTTCGCTAGTTCTAGTACTTAGTTTCATTTTCTTTTATTGTTTGAAATGTTCATTACTGGGTTCAAAGAGGGGTGGTGGTCACAGAGCTAGCACATTAGAACCTGAGTATCCTAATTTTTGAACTAACCCTTTTTCTCTGTAAACCAAAGTTCATTCTAGAAACCTTAGAAACAGACTAGATTCACATTGAATTTAAAAATAAATAAGAATTAATTATCTACCATCGGTGTTTTCCTTTTGAAAAAGAAAACAGCTGCCCTGGCTGGTGTGGCTCAGTGGATTGAGTGTTGCTGGTTTGATTCCAAGTCAGGGCACCTGCCTGAGTTGCAGGCCTTTCCTCAGTAGGGGGTGTGCGCAAGGCAACCACACACTGATGTTTCTTTCCCTCTCTCCCTCTCTTCCCCTTTCTAAAATAATAAAATCTTAAAAGGAAGAAAGAAAACAGCTGACAGCAAATCATAGAGACTGATTTCCAGAGAAGGCAATGGTTTTGAGACATACCAAGAAGGAAGGAAAGGAGAAAAGAAGGGAAGGGGAAGAGTCAGGAAACTTGGAGACAATCTAAATTTTAAAAATATGGTTTGGCTTTAGTCTGTGAATCTTGTCATTTTGGGGATTCAATGGTCTTGCCTGCAGGTGACACACCATCGCCTTTCCCTTAGTAGAAAACTAGAATGCCCCACAGGCTGCATCTAAAGGAAACAGGTGTTTGCCCTCCAACGGTGCATGTGACCAAATGGCTACATTCCTTGCCAGACAGTTGTGTCTAGTTAAGGGTTTTCAAACCAAACATTAGTTATTCAGCTAAATACCAAGGATAATAAAAATAAATTAGCAGCATACTTTATCCCCTCCCCTCATGTTACGCTTTCAAAAGAGTTTCTAAGGCAGCATGTTAAGGTGCCAATAGCAACTGATAAAAGGGGCACCCTAAGAAAACAGAAGTAATGCCATTTACTCATAAAAATGCTTCACTTTATCTGGAGAATGAGATATGTTTAATATCTGTGTAGTTGATAGGACATTTTATTCCCATCATAATTTTTAAGTTATAATGGAAATAAAATGACCAAGTCTAAGAGATGGGTCCTTTTTTCTTTTTAGACAAACTTAAAGCCACAGAAGATCCCTTTCCTATCACTGAACTTATTGCTACAGTGAAGGTATCGTTAATACTGAAACACATGGCATTGTCCTGAAGAAAGGGCAAAAATAAAGAGAAAGTTTAAGGTCTTCTAAGTTATTTCAGCTGTTGCCACCAGAAAGTGCTATAGATGTAACAGCAATGGTTAGTCTAACACTGGTCAGTCTGACATTGATCCAAGTAATCTTCATATCTCATTTCTGGAGAATGGAAAATTGTAGGACTTTGCATAGTAAATCACCTCGTGAGAACTTGATCCTACAGTGAAAAATTCTTTGTAAAAGCTACAACGGCCAAGCTGCCCTCCAGTACTACACAAGCATATGAAATATATGCCAAGGCTCCATGGAAAGAAACATTAACACAAGAAATGATTTCCCTGTCAGTTTAAAAGTGGGAAAAACTTATTTGATCAAATCCCTGTTTTAAATACATTGGCACGTCAGACTCCCTCTAAATAGCCAGATTACTATAAGACTCAGGTCACATGGAAGAAATGTTGGCCCAGAAGATGTTTAAACTTTGCTCCTGGGATAAACCAGGCAGTTAAGAAATTTCAAAATGTGCAAAACAGACATCCTCCTTTAGTTACCAAGACTACAAATCACCTTTCACACAATCCGTAAGCCCTATATATTAAACAGCCACACAGGTGAGAACCAAATTCAGGTTTCCAACAAAAATGATAAGCTGTTCCTTGGCAAAGCTGCAATTTGCTATGACAGTTTGTCAGGCATTCAGTCTTAAATTAGTCGGGATCCCTCTGCAATTGCTGTCTTGACCTTGAACTCTCACATTCTACTTGGATGAGAGCCTAGGTCAGAGGAAGTGGAAGCCAACAACCGCTTACTCAACAGGGCATTGTGTCGCTTCAGGTACACTATAATGTCTCCTTGCTTTTCAACAATTTCTTCTAGGCTTGAAGTAGTCCTACAAAGAATCAAGATATTAATAGGTTACATATATTCACCAATACTCATTAGTCTTTGCAAATGGGTCCTTATCAGTTGAAGACTGGTGAAAGTACAGCATAGTGTTTGTTATTTTTTCTTACATGTTATATAAGCCAAGGCAATATTCCAAAATGAGATTCTTTCATTTGACTAGGTTTCACCACAGTCAAAAGGAAGTACCGTCAAAATCTAATCCTAAAAGCTCATGTGCACAGTCATAATCCCCAAGCAGAATGGTTTCTAGATTGTGAGTGGAATAAAAACTCAATTCTCTTTCTCGACTATTACACCCTGCCCAAAGCTTACCTGAATCCAGTCTCTGAAGTAATACTGCTGGGGTAAGCATAGACTTTTTCTTCTTCAAGTATATCAGGCTGTGGTTTGGCTTTATTAAATTTTCGAATCTTCACTAAAATAATAAAGTCATTGTCAGGTTATCTATAAAAATTTTTCTATTTCCATTTATTCAAATTACATTAATTGGCTATTTTCAAAAACATTAATATGCATAAAAATGCTTCATAAAGAGAATAAACACATCTGCTTATTGATGCACTCAAACATTTGAAAGTCTACTGTGCGCCAAGTCTGCACCAAGCCCTGGGAACACAGTGATTATTGTCATTATTGATAATAATAACAGGTATCATTTTTTTGTGGACTAAAAACACAGAAGGCAGAGATGAACTGTTTTACATGGAACTCATTCAGTTCTCAGAACCATCCCAAGATGGGTGCTTTTATTTCTCTTTATTTTCTATAATCAAGTAAAGAGCAGCCCAAGGAAGCTAGACAAGTATCCAGGGCTCTAATCCAGGAAGCAGGACCCCAAAGACTGCTGTGCACACTACCCTATACAAAGAGCTACTAATCCAGGGAAAAATATAAATAAGCCTGCATTCCAAGACAGTACAAAAAGGACCGTAAATTGGAGCTTGCACAGGGGCTAAGACAGACCTGGAAAGCAGTCCCTTACTCAGCAGGAATGGGCCGGGGGTTGGGGAGGATCAGAGAGGAGGAAGTGGGTCGGGTTTGAGCCCAAGCTTGGCTGAAACCTGAATTAATCACAGGTAAGTGGAGTGGAGAAGATGATGTTTTAGGCGAAGAAGGGGCCAGGACAAATACTTAGGATTCTGAGAAGGGGAGAGAGGGAGCAAGTAAGGGTATGTGTGTGGCAGAGTATGTGTTTTCTAATGAATGATATATATTCAAAACTTACATTGGGACAATAGCTTTAACACAGAATAAGGTAGCTTTAGGAACATAAAACAAGCATCTTTACAACGTAATGTCTCAGGGCCCTAAATTTCCTACCTCTTCTGACTTAAAAAAAAGGCAGTCCAGATTATGCCTTCAATAGAGTAGGGACTTGGGCACTGCTAGTTTGGAAAAACTCACCGTATATCAGCTTGAACTAAAAATACTTACTTTACAAATAACTCCATGAGCACTAGCACAGGGTTCAAACACCTAGCAAGCATCACTTCTCAGGAGTATTATGCTGGAGGGTTAAGTTAACAAGTGCTCTATTGTGTGTCTGTCATTGTCAGACATTCAAAGTAATGCTCAGGTAGAGTAAGACAAAAGTCCAACAAAGCTAATCAGCAGTTCTTCGGCCATCTGAATTCTTTGAAGCAAAATGACTTTGTTATTGTGTTGTATCATTCAACTATGACCTGTTTTGTTTCCGGTGAGCAGGGGTGGGCACAGACAAGGGGTGAAGCCAGAAAGGTGGGCAGGGCAGATGTGAGTGGCTGGTGTGCTATGATAAGGCATTTGGATTTTATCCTGAGAGCAAATGGATCTCACCATCATCCCTGAAAAGCAGGGATGGGTAGGCGCCAGTTCACGGAAAGCCTTTTATGCCACACTAAGATTTCAGATTTTCTTCCTTAGGCCCTTAGAAAACTCTGAATAGGAAAGTTGTTAATGATTAGATTTACATATAAACACAATCACGTTGGCAAGAGTAATGAACTAAAGGACAATTTTACCAGCTACTAGATGGCTGATGGCTGAGTAGCCTTTATTGAATCTGCTTATTTTTAAATGCATGGAGAGCTCATCAAATTTAGTATCTCAGAACTGTTCAAGTTTTATTTTTCTAGCTTTCCTTATATAGGCAGTCAAGCAAATTAGTGCTAGATAAGAAGAGTCCATCTTGGTTTCTAGAGATTCAACTACTTGCAATGCAAATAAATTAGTCAAGGTCAGGTTAGAATTAGTGTATCAGAGAATCATGTCCTAAAGAGTTACTCTTAACATTTATCAAAACTAGCTATCTTTTGAAGTATAGAGAAGCAAGAAAAATTCATTTATCAGGAACCAAACTTAAATTTTCTGTGACATTGAACAAAAGCAGCATCTGTCTCCAGAAGCGACTCCCTAAATCTCTCCTGTCAGAGCCAAACAGTACATTTAAAAGAAGATTATAATTTAAAAAGTACGCCTATTACTGAGGGTGTGGTTGCACTTGAACCTTCTAAAGAAATTCAGTATTTGCAGAAACCCTAAACTAAGTAAATTTATGATTATAATAATTATAGAAAATCTATTTACAAGCCTGAATTACCAATTGTCACGTTTTCTTAAGTTAGGAAGTTTGTTAACTTGAGATCTAAAAGGACAATTTTTCATGGTGTATTCAGATAAAACATTCAAAATTTTATGTAAATTAAGATAAATTATGTTTCTAAGTCTTTGATTATACACCGAAGCAGTTCTTTCCAATTAGAAAGACAATGGATTCAAATACAAGGTAGCCCTGGCTGGTGAGGCTCAGTGCATAGAGCATCAGCCTGCAATCCGAAAGGTCGTCAGTTCAACTGCCAGTTGGGACGCATACCTGGGTTGCAGGCCAGGTCCCCAAATTAGGGCGTATGAGATGCAACCACACATTGACATTTCTCTCTCTCTCTCTCTCAAATAAATAAATAAATAAATAAATAAAATCTTTAAAATAAGTGGTACACAATAAAGGGAAATCCTCTTTTTTTGTTCAAGTTTAGGTGTCTTGTAGCTAGTATAACTGTGCCTCAAAATTAGTTCCTTTCAGAATTCTTGGGATATCTGCTTCCTTTGCCTGTTCTTAAGTGGTCTCAGGTTTTTGTCTTTTTGTTTTTAACACTACCTGTCTTGTTAATAGCACAATTAATTTTAAATGCTGCAGCAAATCCTTTAAAAACAGTACAGTAAATCCTAAGGAAATATATCTTAGACTACATTTTAACACTATTAATTTCCCCTTTTTAGATGATGCCACTCACATGATTTTTGAAATATTGTCACCTTCTATGTCATAGAACATTCTATATAGATATTACAGAAAATATTTGACCAAAGGCTTGCACCCCTTATAGTAAATAAAAGTTGAAGAGTTACTATAAAGTAACATGCTAATTGAATTCTATGCTCAGATCTAACTTATAACCCCATTAACAACACTTGACAGACATATGTCATAGAATGAAACTGATTAATCAAGATAATGCAAAGGTTCATTCTTTCACATGGATTACTTTCCTGAAATATTGAGCTGTTTCCTATATACTGAAAAATTAACCTTACTTTAAAATTAGTCTCATGCTTTTCTGTTAAATTAAGTGAGTGGTGTGCATTTCTTTTTTTAGTAAGGTTCAAATGTAACCTACCTAATATAGCCAATCATTAGCTGATAACGGCAGAAAAATTTGTTAAAGTCGATTAAGATGTGACACCACTCACATTTATAAGCTAGTTACTCCATTCCTATTCTAAATACGTTTCTCTGGGTCCTCAAGGAGATATACACACACACACACACACACACACACACACACACACACACAAATCAGTAAAATAAAACACAAGTTAAGACTCATGTGACTTATTCCTTCATAACTAGAGAAATGATTTCTTTCACAATGGACAGATAAGGTGTTTGTCACAAATGACTGTTGCTCAATGGCACAAAGTGAGCTACTGCTGTGGACAGATTTTGCTGCAAGTCAACATTGCAGCAGGAATGAAATCTAGATTTCTCCAGGGCTAGAACTTTTTTCTGTTAAAGCATCCTTTCATCTACTGCTCATATTAATATATCTGAAGCTTACTTTAATTTTACCACTGAGTTTTATTTTTATTTATATATATACTTTTAATCACTGAGAGTTTTAAAAGAGAAGAGACAGACAGATGGACAGACAGACCAACCCTCAGATAGCTCTATATTTGGAAAGAAGTGGGTTCTTAAATGATCTCTCCCAAAGCAATTTTGGGCTTACTGCAGTTTTTGCATGCATTATTTATTTACTTAATTTATAGCCTATTACTTTTAATTTGAAATGCCAGATCTACATTTCAGTTGCATTTGAGGAATCTAACATTTGTGAGCTTTTTGGAATTTTCTGTTTAAAATGGAAAGCCTTCACTTTACTTGACAAAAATCTTGTGGATGGCACAAAATTATAAATGTGACTCTCCATTATCTTCCTGTTGGTTTGAAATGAGAGGAGTTTGGATGTGGTCAGCAGTGACAGACACAGGTACTCAAAAGGTTCTCAGCCACGTAGAATATCTGAGAACAACCTCCTTGTGGCAAAGATAATGGGAGGGGCTTTAAGCCGGGCTTTGTCAGAACAGCTTTGTTGTATTTCTCACCTGTGTAGATGAGCAGACATGTCAGGGAACAGATCAGCTCCAGGGCCAGGATGGCCAGAATGAGGTCAAGGTACAACCTGCTGGGCTCCGGGAAGGAATGCTGTATGCACAGTATGAGGAGAAGCGCTGTGTTGCCTGAGAAGAAGGAACATCACCGCGGTGTTAGCCAGAGCCCAGCGTGATACCCCAGGGCCACACCCAGCCCCTTTTATGTGTGGCAGTGAAGGAAGATAAAGGATAAAACCCCCCAAATTGTTCATCTTTTGAGGGGAATAAAAACCAAAACAAAACATCAAAGAGTTAATGATGTCTCCTAATACAAATATATAAGAATCTGGACCCCTTAAAGACTAAGGAATGATTTTTTGCTTTAGAAAATTATTACGAATGACATTCCTTTCAGTCTTTTCTGAATTTAAACAAGGATGTGGTTTTTAGAAATTTGCATTATCCCAGTTCTTTTGGATCCACAGGCACTTGAGGACCGTCCTATGCTCGCGGCAGACCTGCCTGCCATGAGGGGCACTGTGGCGCTCCGGACACTTGGATGAAAATCCAGGACACACTGCTAAGCTTGGAAAAATGACTTACTACCTCTGCTCCTTGACCTTCTCATCTGAGAAATGGGGTTAACACTACCTTCCTCACAGTGCTGTTGTGAGGAATAAGTGAGCTAACGTGAAAAATATTTAGAATGGTTCCTGGACTGTAAGTATTCAATAAACATGACTCATTTCCCCACCTTGCTCAGAAGCCCATTATTTATTTTTCAAGATCATTTAAACCTCACTCGGCACTTTTATTCTGAAGACAGTCAAAGAAAAGTTTAGGGGTCAAAGTGATTCCTATAGCAACTTACCTTATGATTTCCTAAACCTTATTTAACATATTTATCTAAGTCGGATTATAGGGGAAGAAATGCTTATTTGATTTATCTTCTACTTCTTGGTACAAAAGAGATGATTGTGAGCCAAAGAGCCATGTTTGAATGACCTATCAGAAATCACTCTACACAAAGCTATGTTCTAATGAACCTCTCCCCTTACACTCACGAATGACCGGTTACAATATATTAGCATGTTGACAGATTGCTAAACTTATAAATTAGTTTTGTTAACAAGACAAATATAATTTTACAACATGGAGGGGATAAAAAACCTCTACACAGAAGCACACACAGTTTTCAGAGGATTTTTGACGTGATGCATCACCTGCGTGTCAGCAGCCTGGTGGGTCAGGAGGAATAATGGGGATCGCCACAGACACAAAGTTTGCAGCAAGGGGCACACTGTAAGAAAACATCCCCCCACAGGGCACATGCTATGGACATTATAAAAGCACCCCCCTGGGGGAGGCCCTGCCCAGCACAATATCAGGAGTTCACGCTAAGATCACCCTGCCTCTGGTTACTGCAGCAGCCTAATCATTTTTGTTCCAACCAAATGCACAATCCAGCTATAGCCTGACTTATCTTTCTAAATTACACAAACCTCAACTAGCCCCTCTCCTTCAAAGGCTCCCTCCCCTTCAGCATCCCTCAGGATCTGGCCCTGGCCAGCCTTTCCAGCCTCGCCTTTCACCGGTCACCCCATCCCAGCTCACATCTGCCGGCTGCTACTTGCTTACTCTGCCAGGACTCTACAAATACTTCCCACCTGACAACAATATACGATCAAGGTTTTCTTTGTTTTTTGGTTTTTTAAATCGTTTTATAATCACCGACATACACCTAGATATTTCTTTATTTCACTTGTCATTTAAAAAAGATTCTAAGAGTTACTGGAATACTTAATATTCATTCAAAACACCAGGAAGAAACAAGTTCCTAGGGGCAGGGGAGGTAGCACAGTGATGAGGTGCGGTGCGTGAGCTCTGAGAGCCTGGAGGTCCCGGCTCCAGTGACAGGTCTGCCACCTTTTATGAACTAAAGCCATTAATTCAGTCTGACCCCAGACTCCTCTTTAAATCTGGGGAAATAATACTTGTCACATGAACCCTGTTGTAGGAGGAAGTGAACTAACAATGCCGAAGTAGGTATTGCATTCGATAAATGGCAGATAATAAATGGTAGGTACTATTATTATAATAATTCTGGTTTTGTGAAACCTGTCCTAATTCCAGGCATATGCCATACGGTCTCTCCTCCAAAACAAGTCCCCATGGCTGACTCACAGTCTCAGGCCCCACTACGGTGAGACCCAGTCTGTTCTCACTTGTGTAACACGTATTTGATAGTTTAAAAATGTGTTTGGATCTAAGGAAGGAGGACAGATAAAATAAATATTTTCAACTGAATTTGGAAGCAAAGCCAAGCCCCAACTCCAAAAAATGAATGTAATTTCCTCTCTCTAGAGAATAACAAAAAGTATCAGGATGAAGCTAATCAATATCTAACAATACCCATCACATGTGATTTAAAAAATGGTTATACTCTTCATTAGCTGGAGGGTCTATGATTTACCTTCTTTTTCTTCAAGTAAGAAAACAATATACTTAAGAAAAATAAAAACAAGGTAAATACCTGCCCCAGCCTCTTTGATTTCTGGGTCCTTGTATGAATGACATACAAGTGATGCCATCTGTGATTAAACTAAGGGTCCAATTGTTTAGAAACAGATTATGGTCAAGAGCCACATGTTCAACAAGAATTTGAAAGACAGAGGAAAGATAAAGTGAGATACTCTTTTGATGGCCTCAAAAATTCGAGTCCTAAAAAAAATACTATCCCCAGAAAATCACTTAAGATTGAACATTATTTTGGTCATAAAGAACATAAGGTTTTTCAGTAGTTTAAAAATAGGCTTCTGTCTATTTTCTGCCCCCTGGCCTCCGGAAAGGTGATAGTGACATCTTATGGCCAAGAGACAGTGCTACACATCAAAAGTTGAACGAGTAAAATCACAGTTCCTCAGGGAGCAAGCAGTAAATGCCGCCCCCTTCTGGACGAGTAAAATTCAGCCATCTCTATAAAACGCTCTTTCTCCGCTATGGTATGGTCCTCCACCTTCCACTAAAAACCTCAGAGTGGATGAACTTGCAGTTTGCCCTTAAGGAAATGTACTAACAGAACACAGAAGAAAAATAAAAATAAAATTCTGTAGAGCTATTTTTTCCTGGTGAAAAATATTCATTTCTAATCTGGTTTAAAAATGTTAAATAAATTTATTCTGGACTCACATTCCAAGATGGTCTTTTAAAATGATAGAAACTTAGGCAAAACTACCTAAAGGAGTTCAGTTTAATTCCATTAAGCCTTTAACATGTACAACAGTAAAGAGAAGCAGGCACTCATGCATCCTAAATCCTGTGTGGACTTTCTGATCTTGCCCTCATAATTCGTTTTTTTCTTTTCATTTTGGATAATGCACTTTATTATTTAACAGTCTCTCTTATTACAAGACAAGTACTGAGCTTTACTTAAAATAGAAGGATTCCCTCTTCTTGTCTTACAAGTATAAATAGCAGCAGCATTTTTATCTCTTTAGATGAATAAGGAAAAGCGGGAAGGCATTTCTACATTTCACACAGGAACTCATGGACACCAGGATCATAAAAAGGGGAACAAAAACATGCCAACTCAAAATATAACTTATTAGCATAAGGATGATTTTAAGCTGGTTATTTTTAAGAAACAGCAGACACAGGAACATGTCTGAAAACAGAGAAGTTATCCATGCCTAAGACTGTCTCCCTCTCTGTACCAGGAAGAGAAGGATGACAAATAAATAAATAAATAAATAAATAAATAAATACTTTTTATTTTAAAAAAAGGATGACTCTAAATCTCAAGAAACTCTTATCAATGGAGAAGGCACCTACTTACATCTGCTTAACAACCTTACACTTGTTTACTGCACTTTTCTCGGCAACCTCCCATAACTGCCTCCGCACCCCCAGTATCTTCTTTTGTCTTTAGCTGGCAATGGTATTTAAGGTGGTTGCTTGGGCCATTTTGGGGAGTTACACAGATATCCTGGGTATCTCTCATGTATATAGGAGGCATACATGTTATTAAACTTGTTTGGTTTTCTCCTGTTAATCTGTCTTTTATTACAGTGGGGTCTCAGCTCAAAACCTGACAGGGTAGAGGGGAAAATGACATTTCATCGCCTAAATAATAAACACAGATTTCAAAGAAAAGTTAAACTTCAAGACATTCAGATGATCCGAACTTAGTGGCCACTATATATATCATTCTCACAAAAATGAGAAAAACCTACAGTAAGTTCTTATTTAACATTGTGAATAGGTTTCTGTGACTTTAAGCAAAAACAGCGTATAAAGAAACCAACCTGAACATAGGCTATTGATACAAACAAGAGTTAAGTTCCTATGTCATCCTATCACCATTTCAACAAAATGACATTGAATGAAATGACATTATTCAAGGCCCTGCTGTATTTGATTATAAAATCAGTCTTCACATTTTCTGCCTGCAGACTCTTTTGTTACTCAGCCACGCCACAAACAAGCTGAGAGAGACAACGGGGCTTACCAGTGGAGTGTATCGTTAACGCAAGTCTTTTAAGATGCCTTGTCGATCGGTAGATCATGTTATAGCCTCGGTTTCTTACTTTGCTGTGGTGATATTGAATGTAGCGTTCAAGAAGGAAATGCAGAATCCATAAAATGACTTTTCCGAGGATTATGACCGTTTGAACTTTTAGCGGGTTGGTGTAGTTTCCTGGGCACTTGTCCTCATTTGGATTAGGGTAAGAACAAAGCACACCTGTTAAAAATGCTAAAACAACAAACACAACCTGGTGGAAAGGAAAGCAGTAGGTTAAATATTTGATATTTGTATTTAAGAAACATTATCATCATCCCAGCATATACTCTTAAAACTATGACTCTTGCTATCCAATTTTTATAAATGAATTAAAAAAATATTTTTACAAACATTTAAAACAAAATTTGAAGAAAAATTTGCAGATAACTTGGAAAACAAATAAAATCACATGCACAAAAAAATCACTCCAAATCTGACCTTCACAGAAATAGGTACTGAATGTTAAACAGTTTTCTGCCTACTTCTCTTTTACTGAAGAAAGTAAAAACAGTTAATTTAGTGTCTTAAAGGTAACTAATAAAAAGCATGATTTAAAAAAGAAAATAGAAACTAAAAATAAAAAAGTTTATTTCTAGTTTCAGTGTTAAGAGAACAATAAAAACTATCCAATTAGATTGACAAAAATTTAAAAGACAGGTGCCAAAATACAGGCAAACAGACATTCTCATATAATACTGGCTGGTCTGAGAATTGCTGTTGAAAAATAATTGGAAATATCTTGACCCAGCTGGCTTACCTTAGGATCCCATCCCTCAGAATGAAAAGCACTAGTACCTAGTACACATGGATATGAATATTTACAGCAGTATTCCCCATATTTGCAAAACTTAAAAATTGCCCACTATGTGTCCATCCAGTGGAATGCTTGAATTACGGTATATCCACCCATATAACAGAACATTACTCAGCCATAAAAGAATTAACTAAATCTGTGTATTAATTTGGATGGATGTCTATGACATGTTAAGATTAATAAATCAATTGCACATTAGTAGTTTAAAGTGCGGTTTCCAGACCAGCAGCGCCCGCAGTACCAGCATCACCAGAGATCATGTTAGAGATGCAAATTTTCCGGCCCCAACCAATAGGGACTGAGTCAAAAGCTCTGGGATGTGGCAGGGCAATCTGTGGTTCAAGAAGCAGGACAGGAAGTCTGATCCATGCTGAAGTTTAAAAAACACTGCTGTAAAGTAAAAACTGAAGTATTATCCAGTTTTTGAAAGAAATCGGGTAATACTGCAAATAGGTCTACAATAAATTCTTTGAAGTAGAGATATGAATGAAAAAAGAGGGCACATTTTAAATGTTGATAAATATAACCAAACTGCCCTTCAAAGAGCTTGTATGTTTTTTAAGAACATCACCTCTAGATGGATCACTTTCTCCCTGCCAACTTACATGTACTAACAAGAGAAGATTTGCTATGATGACTGTAGGAAGAGGGTGGAACTTGGGTCTAAAATGAGCATGTAATGAATAATGTGGGTGATGCTGGGTGTCCAGAAGGGGGTCATCTTCAATACTTTGGGTTGGATCCAAGGAGCCCTGGGGTGCAGAAAAAAGAAGGCAAGCTGTAATTACCACTTTCTGGATTGTGTTTCTAAGACAAAGTAACTAAACTATAAAACTTTAGTAAGCATTATACAAGTTGCAGGCCAAAAAAAGCCATTATCCCTATCTAGAACCAATTTTGAAAATATACCACCTTGGCTGGTGTAGCCACACCAGTGGATTGAGTGCCGGCCTGTGAACTAAAAGTTCATCGGTTCAATTCCCAGTCAGGGAACATGTCTGGGTTGTGGACCAGGTCTCCATTTGGGGGTGTGCAAGAGGCAACCAATCAATGTATCTGTTGCACATCAGTGTTTCGCTCCTTCTCTTTCTCCTTCCTTCCCCTCCCTCTAAAAATAAGTGAATAAAATCTTTCTAAAAAATTAAAAAATGTTTATCTATCATAGGCCTCTAGATAACTAGTATACAAATCATAAAAACAACAGTTATTAGAACAGGTAGAGGACATCTTAATTCATTCATTGTGAAACAAGGTAATACATAATGAGATTAAAGCAAATAATTTTCCTCAAGCCACCAAAGCTTAGATTATTTATATTATCGATGAAACAGCTACATATGGTTGCAATTCTTCAACTATGTGTCTGTGTTTCATAAAATTTTGGAAAGTTTATTAAGAGGTCTTAAACTTTCAGTTACAATAGAAATATTTTAGAGTGCTCATAGAAACAGATCACCCTGATAGACCTTGGAGGAGACTTAGTTTATAGCTGTCAGATTCTCAATGAAAACAACTACTTGCGATGTCACTGAAGTAGTCGGCAAAAGTTCAGCTGCAACTTAAAAATCTAGTCATCACGTTTAAAGGTACTGTCTTGATAGAAACAGTACTTTCTCATCTCTGGTACATACAACAATCTCTTAATTTCAGATTCTTACAGAAAAATGTTATATATTAGGCACTTTGCCCAACAAAAAAGAACATAAGACACACTCCAAAAGGAGATTACATTTTCATTGGGGAGGTTTAAAGGCATGCAGGACTAAACAACGTACTAGAGAATATAGTACATGGGATACTATAAGGAAGTAATAATAAATTAGCAAATGACTAGCACAGACAATGCAACAGCTTAACTAGGTATACCAGAATGAAAGGAAAATGAAGCCTTAATGCTCAAAAGGGAAGCCTGAGAACAGGATCAGGAGACAGAGGATAAGGGTTTTTTATTTTGGAAGGGGTAAATGATAGTGCGACATGGCTCTTGGCCACTGGCATTACCTAGATGATTCAGTAATCTGAGCATAACCCAGATCCTTGATTTCCAATCTCAGGCCTGAAGAGCTGCTCTGCAATTGTTTAAAAAGATTTTATTTAATTTTTTAGAGAGAGGGGAAGGGAGGGAGAAAGAGAGGGAGAGAAACATCGATGTGAAACAGAAATACCAACCGGTTGCCTCCCACATATGCCCCAACTGGGTACCAAACCCACAACCCAGGCATGTGCCCTGATGGGGACGGAACTGGCAACCTTTCGCTTGGCAGAATGATGCCCAATCAACTGAGCCACGCGGCCAGGGCTGCAATTTTTTAAATTCAATGCCTGAACAGCTTCCTGTTTAGTTTGCCATAACTCATGGGGCAATTCTGAGTATTTCCAGTCCCTTTAAAGACTCCTTTTCCTCTAGCTCTCCCTCAGTCAGCAGATGTCCCAGCCTCTACAGCTCTTCCCTTAGCTAATGTTCCACCCTGACTTCCAGGCTCAGTTAGGGCTATTCCCACAGGGGGCCTTCCTGGGCAGCCAAGCATCTGGATCATGCCACCCCACCATGCCTTCCCATGCACTTGGTGCTCACCTCCTCTATCATACTCTCCTGTGATGGTCTTCTTCCTTATCTGTCTTGCCCAGTAGCCTTTACGAGACCCACCGTCTCCCCACTTCTTATGCCTTTGTAATGCTAGTGCCCAGCAGTGACTCAAGGTCGACACTCAGCCAACACATGATAAATGAATGAATGTTCCAGACCTGTCCTTGCAGTTCCCTAACTCGGTAATGCTATTGTCAGAATCAGGAGAGATTGTCAAGAGCTGTAGGAACAATCAGCTCTGACCAGAGGCAGTAAGTGCTGTGGCTAAGGGCAGGCTCCTAAGGCAAACTGCCTTGGCTCAAAACTTATGTTCTCTATAAAACTTGTCCAGCCAAGTGTTTTCTCTCTACTTTAAAACTCCTATAAAACACACTGCCCTTAATATTAATTTGGGATATTTCTTATGCTGCCTTGTATTGTCTTCCCTGACTACATCAAAGGGGCTGGGGCCCCCAGTACCGTTTCTTCTCTCTGTTACTCATTACATGTTCAGTAAATACAATGTTTTTAATGGCTATATCAAATATACTGCCCAATGGGTCCTACAGGAAATATGGCAAAACCATAAAAACAGTACCCCATCATTCTCCAACTTACCCCCTGCAAGTGAAAGGTGAAGGCAAGATGCCTCCTGAAGCCAAATAATTCCTTCATTTTCAGTATGAATAACTACATTACTACCTGTAGAAGATACCTGTTGTTTTTGTCCACAGCATATCTCTTCCCTCTTCTTTTGCAACAATAACTCTATTTCTTTGGGGACCCACCATCTGCCTCTGCATTAAGTCTCAATGGGAACATCTTTCAGTACTTTTCACCCTCCTCTGTCCTCAGGGTGGTGATTGAACCAAAGAGACTTGGGCAATCCAACTCTGTGAGCAGCAAAGCAAAGGGAGGCCATGATTGCGGCAGATTCACTCCAGGGCAGACCCCGAAAGGACTGGAGCTGCCCTTGTGTTTTTTCAGAGGCCTTGATGTTTATCCAGCCCGTTTCAAATAAATCCCTATCTTCCTTCAGTTAGCCAGAGTTGGTTCCACAGCTTGCAAACAATTAACCTTAACTCTCCTAAAAAAAGCCTTTGCCTCTTCCAAGTCACTGAAGTGTCTGGGCTTACGACACAGCAGATAATTTTGGGGTTTTTACTGAATGATAGAATTCATATCCACAAAATACCAAAGCAGCCAACTTGCTCAGGTTGAAAGTGATTTAACTAAGTAACTGTTGGTGAAACAGATTTCTAGGATTGTATTCGTTCTACAGCTAATAGTTGCAGATCCAAGAACCCTGGGGTAGCTTAGCATCAACCAAGAAACTAGTTTTTTCCATATATTGTCAGTTCATGAATCCCACCCTTAAAAATTTAGAAACAATCAATAAAAAAAAAATACATACGAGTCTCAAATCTACTTCCAGGTTTTAGTTAGTGTTCCATTTTCTCCACTGGGGGGAAAAGGGGGAATTTTTAGTCTTATTAGAAATTGTTTAGTCTTAGTCAAGATAATTTAACTATGGTCACTATTTACCAAAGAATCTAAGCTCTTGTAGGCCTGGAACTGTGTTTCATGTGTCTTGCCTGATGCACCTCATTCAGTGAATAGGATTACAGTAATATTTCTATTAATTCATTAATACAAATAAGTGGTTTAATGTAACCGTCGACTTTGCATTTAGCAAGGGCAATATTTTTATTTTGTTCCAATAGGGCAACCCAGTTAATTCTGGGCACATTACATTTCCCTAAAAGTTTTTTAATATACTTAAGCAAAGATTTTTGCAATTATGCTATCACTCCATACTATATACACTGTAAAATAGTGCACTGGTTTTTTATTAATCTCGTTTGGATCCATTAAAAAAGGAGGCTTAAAAATCCTTTCATTCCTACCAATCCTAGATTCAAAACATCAGGGCATTGTTTCTCTCCAGCGTTGCTTTCTGGGTGATGATAGCGACAGGTCTGGCCGGCGGCTGGCCTGCGTGTTGCAGCTGCTCCAGGTTCAGAGCCCTCTAGAGCCGAGGCTGGGGACCCGCAAGGAGGGGAGATTCGTCCCCTGTGCCCCAGGGGCGACAGAGCGGAGCCCAGAGGCCAGGCGCCCAGAGACACGCCCGGAGCCAGTGCTGTCAGGCCAGGAGCCAGTGCTGTCAGACCAGGCGCTCATCACGTGAAGCTCTCAGTTCCGGGATCAAAGATGCGCACCGCGCCTGGGCTGGGAGCCCGCCTGGGACCTCCCGCAGCAGCGCAGCCACCACCCAGCAGCCCAAACCGGAGCATCGCAACTCCACCCTGCCCTAGTGCCTTTTCTTTCAACACCACGCAAAGAGACAGCTTCGCGCAGGAAGCACCGCTTCCTGCCGTGGCCGCACAGGGTGGCTTCCCCGCGCAGTCTCCGCCCAGCGTGCCCAGCACAGGAAGAAGGAGATTCCTGGGCTAGCTGCCCGCCACTTTTGTAAACTCACATCCTCCAGTCGGGTCCTCGCCGCCATTTCCCGACGCTTGAGGCCGAAGCCCTGGCCAGCAGGCCTCTCCACCTGTTCCCCGGCGCCGAAGGCCCAGGAAATTCACCACTTAAAAGAATCTGCCTGCCCCAACTCCAGACACACCCACTCCTGTGCCCGCCCCGCCTCCGGCCCTCTCCGGGCCCCGCCTCCTTACTTCCGATTGGCGGAGGCAGAGGGAGTGGTGTGCCCTTCCCCAAGGCCCGACCTGTGGGCAGCTGCAGCGGCTGGGACCCGGTTCTTGGAGATTGCAGCCTTCCCCGCTCAGGTCTGCTATTGGCCAGAGACTTGGGCATTAAGTGATGTATTCAAAGTCCAATAATTTAACTATTTTCGGCCGCTACTTGCTTTTTAAAATGTTAACTTTTTTTCGGTCTTCCTCAGTTTTTGTTTGCAGGCATACCTCCATGCATGAGTAGAACCACCGGCAGAATTTTAGGGTTCCTATTTTTAGGTCAAAACATCAGTAGAGGGACACGGACAGAATAAAGATTCTAATTCCTATGACGTATTTATGGATTTCACCAATGCGCATGAGTAAAGAAACTAAATTAGAGGCCAGTCTCACAGACTGCTATTCAGTAGCTCCCTAATCTGGCTCTGATTTAGTTCTGAATAAGTAGACTTCACCCTCTTTCAGGAGATTCACTCTCCTGAGTCTGAGTCTTTGCTTGTATAACACGTCTAGGAGTAAAAAGGTTTTATCCTTTTTCAACTTGAACCTTATATTTCTTTTATATGTACTCGCCCGTTGATGGATTATTTAGTAAATGATGTTGGGAAAAACAGCTAGCCGTTTGGAAGAAAATGAAGTTGGATCACTCCCACATTCCTTAAGCCAAAACGAATTCCTAAATTCAAAGATTTAAACATAAAAATAAATCAACAGAAGTTCTAGAAAAAAAATCAGCATAGTTTTACAGCAAAAGCTTCATGCATGACCTCAAACTCCAAAGCACTAAAGAAAAAAGTGTAATAAATTTGACTGCATAAAAATATTGAAACTTTTTCTTGTACGCCAATTTACAATGATAAAAAAAGTTTGAAATTTCTACACGAGACAGAAAAGCAACATAAAGTTAAAATCTAAGTCCCAAATAACTGGAAGCAATGTAGCTATCCATTATTTGTGGAATAGTTAAGTAAACTATGGTATCCATACTAGGATATTATCCAGCAGTTTAAGAAAATGAGGTAGATCTATATATGTTGTTGGGAGGGGAAGCTCTACAATATAGGGTGTCATAAAAGCACGTTGCAAAATAATAGTCATGCTATAATTTTATTCATGAAAAAGAGTACACATAATGCAAAAAAACAAATATTTTGATATTTTGATATGCTAATGTATGCTATGAAAGTATACAGAACTAGAGAAATTAAGCAAGAAAAAGAAATAAGTCATTCAAACTGGAAAGAAAGAAGTAAAATTACTCACACAAGACATATCTTAAAGAAAATCTTAAAGAATGCACAAAAAAAGTCTTAGTGCTAATAAACAAATGAACAGCTAATAAAGAGTCTGGCAATTTTTCAAAAAGCTAAGCATAGAATGCCATAAGATCCCGCAATTCCAACCCTTGGTATACCTGTAGTGGTGATTGTTGCATAATATTATAAATGTAAATAATGCCACTGAATTGTACATTTAAAAATAGTTAACATAGCAAATATGTTATAAATATCTTACCACAATAAAAACACAGTTTGAAAAAAGTTTAGTATATACACAAAACCTGCTTATCATAGAATTATGAATCATACAATTATCTTAACTCTAACTCACATGATAAAGAAGTAATTTCATTATTACACAAAAAGCATATTCCCCTGCTTTTAAAAAATATATATTTTTTAAAAAAGACAAATGACAAAAGCAAGTAGTTCACAGAAATAGAAAGGCAAACAGCATAGAAAACGTATGTTTATCCTTACAATTTTAAAAATACAAATTAGAACAACAAAAGATGTCATCGTATCAGATTGACGAAGATGAAGAGTATTAGTGAGAGTGGGCATGCATACACTGTTAGAAAAGGTGTGAATTATTGAAATAATTTGAGGAAAATTTGGCCAAATCTGTCAAACCTACCAAATCAACATTTACTCAAGTTTTTAAGTACTTATCCTTTGACTGTAGGATTTTTCCTGCAGTTATACTAAAAAAAAGGGAGAAAGATATTTATCTATGATCATTTAACCTTATTTGTAAAAACTTTCTCTTTATCAAAAACAGTAACAATCTAAATACCTATCAACAGGAGACTAGCCAAATAAAATATTGTACCAATGAAAGTTGCCATTAAAAAGCATAAGGGTAGATCCATGTGCATGGATCTTTATGTACTACAGAATGACAGCCACGTAGAAACATTTCACTAAGAGTTTCATGTTTGTACCTTATCCCCACAACTAAACTGCAGACACTCTAAGATGTGACCCATCACACACAGCCCAGAAGCGCACATGTGTATGTAGCAAACGGTCACTGACTTGAACTCAATCAAAGAGAAATGAGGGGAAAGGTATAAAAATAAGATACTAATGGAAGGTGGGGGGTGAGATAAATAGAGCAAAAAAGCTATGATAGAAGGAGAGATATGAGGAGGAGGAGGAGAGATGAAAGAAATGGAGGAAGAACAGAAAAGAGCATGTGTAAAAATTGAGGAGAGAGATGTGAGGCCTGAGGGTCATTGGACTGGGCAGTCACACATGCTTTGTATTAATTAGATCAGGATATGGATAATAAGCCCTGGCTTGTGTGGCCCAGTTGGTTGGGTGTCATCCCGCAAAGCAAAGGGCGCCCATTTGATTCCTGGTCAGGGCAGCTGCTTAGGTTGCCGGTTTCGTCACCGGTCAAGGCACTTATGAGAGGCAACTGATCTATGTTTCTCTCTCACATCAGTGTTTCTCTCATTCTGTTTCTTCCCCCCTTCCCCTCTCTCTAAAAATACATTAAACACAATTTTTAAAAAAGATATAGTTAAGATGTATGTGGAAGACGAACAGGGCTCATAGAGGGCACAGGGGAATACATTCTGTAAGTTGTCTGAGGCAAGTGCAGGGGAGGCCTCAATCAAATCACACAGACATTACATGCGGACAGTGAGTGGCAGAGCTATACCAGCCACTGAGCAAATGGTGACATGGGTGACAGGATCCTCAGCTGGGTCTTCCCCACATTGCCTGGCCGCCAGGAGCAGTGGATATCTCATTTGAGCAGATTTCCCATTTGGGTAGGTGTGCTGTGGATACTGCCATAACCTTGCAGTGTTACTCCCAAAATGCCCCTGGGTCTGTGGTAGATTCACTGTCTGAAGTATAAGCTTTAAACCCCCAGGGCAATCAGAGAAGGCCTAAATGGGGTAAGTGGGGACAGGGGGAGAAAGAGGCAACTACTTCTCAGACCCCTGCTTTATGGGGCACCTCAAGCCTGAGATAATAACCAAAGTGTTTCATATCAAATTGGTCTGAATTAAAAAGCCTTTTTCAGAATATCTATAAGACATACTTCCTTTGATCCCAAGTTATACGACTTACATTCTCTGCCTTCCATTGCCAAATGCTTGGAAGCTGTCTTGCTGTTTTAAAGAGTTCCCTTTTTCCGAGCACCTTGCCCAAGTCAGACTGTCCTCCCAGAAGCAACATGCTGTAGGGCAAAGGGCCTTGGAACCAGAAAACTCAGCTCAAATTCTAGTTCTACAACTTACCGCTCACCAACATCCACCCCCCCTCACCCCCACGCCGCCGCCTCACTTTTCTTAACTATAAAATGATACTTCTCTCCTAAGGTGACCATAAGTATTAAATCACGTATCGAATCCCTACAGGAGACTTGGCACAAATGAGGAACTCGTGAAATTTTGGCTTCCTTCCTGTTTTCCCCTCCCCTCCCCCACCCCACGTCTCTAGCCTGAATCAAGTAGAGAGGAGGGGCCAGGTACACACAGTTCTCTCCGTGGGCACCAGCACAGCGCTGCATGTAATTAAGTACTTAATAAATGCTTTTTGATTAAGTTCAGCATCCTCATAGCAGGAGACAAGCACTTTGCTCAATCACTCTGATTAGATGTTTCTCCTTGGCAGAAATTCAGATGGCACCAATGCTAAATTCAGAGTGTTGTTTTGGAAAATCACATAATGATACTTCATTTTTCTGAAAGACGGAGTGATAATTCCCACACCTGCCTCACAACTTTGCTTTTATGCCGTTGGACAGTCAGATATCTAGAAATATGAGGGCCTGCTTTTTAGTTCATAACATAAATACTTCTTTAACAGAGAGGCAAAGAGATTGAGAAGCTAGGGCTAGTCAGAGAGACCGATGTAGCCATTTGTCACTTGTTACCGCCACCCACCCCTCCAAAGGAAAAGAGGGTCAGTTATGGAGCTGAGGCTCAAAAGAAACTCAGATGTTAACTGGGATCTCTTTATCTTCCTTCCCTTCACCGAGTTCTGTTGCAATACAAAAAGTCCATTTACACCAAGTGTTAATGAATTCTGTAGAATTTTCTGAGTTTTTGGGAAAGTGTAGAGCTTTCTGTTGTCCTACTGGCTCAGCCTTTTTCCTCTCCTCTGCTTTTCTCTCCTTCTCAGGTTTAAAAAAAAAAAGTTTCTCTTTGCTTCAGGCTTGAGCAGGCCCTTGATGCCCCACTCTCCTCCCCAAGCAGCTTGTGAAAGTATTTCTTCAAACAAACCCAGAAGTCTCCCTAGAAAATCTCCACCTCGTCATCACCTCTTCCCATTTCACTTCCACACCACACCCCCTACTCCACACTGGTTGCTGTTCCCTAGGAACATACAATGAGGTTTGGGCAGGACGGAGTGTCCGTCCCAGTGTTTTAGGGACTGCAAGCTATCCAGAAGCTTTAAGAAACTGACTTGTTTCACTATAGCTGAACAATTTGGTTTCAAGTTGCCCCAAACCACACTTGCATTTGGAGGTGCAGTTCTTATCTAGCCCACTGAGTAGTGCTGTTCCTCTATTAGTAAGATGGAGATCGTGTACTAGGAGGTACAATCTTTCTCATCAAAGGGGACAAATATTCAGTGAATCTGGCTAAGCATTTAAAGATAGATATTTGTTTCCTTTTAGTG